GGGGAGAGCGAGAGAGAGAGAGAGAGAGAGAGAGAGAGAGAGAGAGAGAGAGAGAGAGAGAGAGAGAGAGTGCGGATGCCCATATTACACGTAGATAGGTCATATCTAATAGATGATATATGATAGATGATATCTTATTGATAATATCTGTTAGATAATATCTAATAGATGATATCGGGAGCAAATAATCGTGCGTGGGTACGTGCGTGTGCGCGTGTCTGTGCGTGCGTGCTTGTGTGTGCGCGCGCGTGTGTGTGCGTGCGTGCGTGTATAACGTCAGCTTTGCTGTGACCACACAAATAATATAGGTAGACTATGTCCCATAAGTACCTATCTCTAGACGGTTTCTCTATATATTTCTATGGCTGTCACACACCGTATGTTGGTTAACCCTGGGTGCACATCCGCTACAGGCATTGAAGAAGAAACACGAAGCGTTCGAGAGCGACCTGGCAGGGCACCAGGAGAGAGTGGAGCAGCTAGCAGCCATTGCTCACGAGCTTAAGTAGGTGGCGCCACTAGTTCATATACAACACAGTATATAGATATGACCATTACCTGAAGCAGATGACAACCCTAGTTTATATATATGCAACATAGTATATAGATATGACGCTATAGCCCATGATCCTAAGTAAGTGACAACTCTAGTTTATACAGTGCGATATGTATAGTTTTGAGGCTCTAGAGCATGAGCGTAAGTAGGTGGTAATCCTACTCTGTAGATACACGTAGAACAACACAGTGTGTAGATACAACGCCATAGCTCATCAGATTAAATAGGTGACAACTCTAGTCTATACAACCTTCATTGCAGCTATTGCCAAGTATAAATCAGCGATGTTTCGAGTAGTTGAGTTAATATAGAATAGACTATAATATATATGGAGAATAGATAGGTAGAGTGTAAGTATATGCAGATAGGTGCAGGGTATGTGTAGCTGTAGTATTAGGAATAAGCTTGATGCAGCGAAATACCTCAAAGGAGTTTTCACCGTCAAGCAGTGACGGAACAAGTGTCAGTGTGAGTAGGTGGATGGGCGAGGAGCGGGGAATATTCCTCGTCCTCAGGGGAGGGGGCAATAGGTCGTCGTTATTAGGTGGGGGGCAAGAAGAGGGAAATATCCCTCGTCCTTAGGGAAAGGGGGCAATAGGTCGTCGTTATTATATGGGTGGGCGAGGAGAGGGGAATATTACTCGTCCTCAGGGGAGGGAGGCAATAGGTCGTCGTTATTAGGTGGGTGGGCGAGCAGCGGAAAATATACTTCGTTCTCAGGGGAAGGGGGCAATAGGTCGTCGTTATTAAGTGGAAGGGGGGAGAGGGAAATATTCCTCGTTCTCAGACACCCTAACGCTGTGTTGTATGCGTGTAGTACCCTGGGCTACCACGACTCGCCCGCCATCAACAGCAGGTGCCAGCGTATCTGCGACGGATGGGATTCATTAGGGAACCTGACATCAAAGCGCAGGCAGGCGCTAGAGGTGCGTGTAGCGTAAATAGATTTCTCTATTTCTCTTGCTCTCATTCTTTTTATCTGCCCTTCTCTCTCAACTGCCATATTTCCCTCTGAGCTTTTCTCCTGTAAGTGAAGACTTATTCCCCCCTGAGCTTGTCTCCTGTTAGTGAACACTTATTCCCCCCTGAGCTTCTCCTCTGTAAGTGAAGACTTATTCCCCCCTGAGCTTTTCTCCTGTAAGTGAACACTTATTCTCACCTGAGCTTGTCTCCTGTAAGTGAAGGCTTATTCCCCTCCTGTCTGCTTGTCTCCTGTAAGTAAACACTTATTCCCCCTGAGATTCTCTCATGTAAGTGAAGACTTATTCCCCCTGAGCTTCTCCTCTGTAAGTAAAGACTTATTCTTCCTTGAGCTTCTTCTCTGTAAGTGAAGACTTATTCCCCCCTGAGCTTCTCCTTTGTAAGTGAAGACTTATTCCCCCTCAGCTTCTCCTCTGTAAGTGAAGACTTATTCTTCCCTGAGCTTCTCCTCTGTAAGTGAAGACTTATTCCCCCCTGATCTTCTCCTCTCTAAGTGAAGACTTATTTTTCCCTGAACTTCTTCTCTATAAGTGAAGACTTAATCTTTCCTGAGCTTCTTCTCTGTAAGTGAAGACTTATTCTTCCCTGAGCTTGTCTTCTGTAAGTGAAGATTTATTTCCCCTGGGCTTCTCTCCTGTAAGTGAACACTTATTCCTTCCTGAGCTTCTCTCATATAAGTCAAGACTTATTCCTCACTGAGCTTCTCTCCTGTAAGTCAAGACTTATTCCCCCTGAGCTTGTCTCATGTAAGTGAACATTTATTTCCCTCTGAGCTTCTTATCTGTAAGTGAACACTTATTCCCCACTGAGCTTCTCTCATCTCCGTTTATCTTCCCACACAGGAAGCTGAGAAACTCATGGAGAGAATCGATCAGCTGCACATGGAGTTTGCGAAGCGTTCGGCTCCCTTCAACAATTGGATGGACGGCGCAAGGGAAGACCTGCAGGATATGTTCATCGTTCACACCGTAGATGAAATACAGGTGAGTATGGACGCAGGGACCGTAGATAAAATACAGGTGCGTGTGGGCGCAGGGACCGTAGATAAAATACAGGTGCGTGTGGGCGCAGGGATCGTAGATAAAATACAGGTGAGTATGGGCGCAGGGATCGTAGATAAAATACAGGTGCGTGTGGGCGCAGGAAAATACAGGTGCGTGTCGGCAGAGCGTAGCGGTGCTGTTTGTTATGCCTCGCCCGCACGCACACACGCAGGCACTAACGTACACACGCATGCACGCACACACGCACTAACGCACATTTCACACATTACCTTCTATTCCAGGGCTTATTGGATGCTCACGAACAGTTTAAGCAGACGCTAGGAGAGGCAGACAAGGAGTTTAACAGCATCATGAGCCTCGACAGCGAGATCCGTCGCTTCGCCCAGCAGTACAACCTGCCTGGTGTCGTCGATAACCCCTACTCACACTATACAGGACAGGTAACAACTCTCTCTTGCTACATGACATATGTCATTGTGTATAAGTGCAGCTACATTGCTAGCGCTTAGCCCCCGTAGAATGTCGCCCAATACCATTTAGACTCATATATCCCTTCGCGTTACTACATCACTGCAAACTCATGTACATCAGATGTAGATGTATATTGGTTGTGTATTAGATATATTTAGAGATTTAGATGTATCTCTGGCGAATAGGCAGAAGCGATTTCCGATTAACATCGCATCGTCGATGAACGTGCGTGTTTGTTAATATTCCCGAGTGTAAGACTCTCGTGAAATTACCAAATGCCTTTATTCTGCTTCGTCTTCTTCTTCTTCTTCTTCCTCTTTTTCATCTTCTTCTTTTTCTATTCCATCATCATCATCATCTTCTTCTTCTTGTTCTTCTTGTTCTTCTTTTTCTTCTTCTTCTTCTTCTTTTTCTTCTTTCTTATCATCATCATCTTCTTCTTCTTGTTCTTCTTGTTCTTCTTTTTCTTCTTCTTCTTCTTCTTTTTCTTTCTCGTCATCATCATCTTCTTCTTCTTTTTCTTCTTTTTCATAATCATCGTTATCTTCTTCCTTTTCCTCTTTTATTTCGACATCATCATCATCTTCTTCTACTTCTTCCTTTTCATAATCATCATTTTCTTTTTCTCCTCCTTCTCTTCTTCTTCTCCTCCTCTATTTTCTTCTCGCGATTCACGTTGTTTGCTCGCGGTTTCTCCTCCAGCAACTCGCAAACCTCTGGAACCAGATTAAGCAGCTGGTGCCTCAGCGTGATGGAATTCTCAGCCAAGAGATGCAGAGGCAACAGGGTATCCTTTAAACGCTGGCTCGGATCCCACCGTAATTAAACAAGATCGGTGGTAATTAATTAATAGAATTAATTAATGGTCGCATCCATCGTTCTCAGTGGAGACAGAGAATGAACAGAACTAACGGGAGAAGAGGGATATGAGGATGACAATTTTTAGAGCTAATAGGGAAGGAAGGGAGGATACGGGAAGATGCCCCCTCCGTCCTCGCGGTCGCTTATCCCGGCAGTTAGTTCCGTGCGTCGTAGCTATTTATAGTAATCAGAGGTAATTATAATAATTAGAGCAGAGAAAGCCACGCCTGATGATGATGATGATGATGATGATGATGATGATGATGATGATGGTAATGATGATGATGATGATGATGGTGATGATGATGATGATGATGATGATGATGATGATGATGATGAGGATGATGATGATAATGAGGATAATGATAAGGATGATAATGATGAGGATGATGATGATGATGATGAGGATGATGATTATAAGGATGATAATGAGGATAATCATGGTGATCATGATGCTCTGACAGCGATGAAGTACGCCCTCGATTAACTTCTTGGATAATATCGGAGGCAAAATAGAAAGCTCTAAACATATAGCATATGTATAGAAATATATGTATATATATATATATATATATATATATATATCGTACTTACTGTGCGTGGTCACTTAATGACGAAGGCGAATGCATGGCATGGTGTATAAAGAGCTAGAAGAAAAGATCCCTGATCCAGACGTCGCCCTAGATCGTCCCGTATGTCATTAGTATTTAAACGGTAAACACATTACGTCACCTCTACTTCGAACCATAAATAACTAGCTTTCTGCCTCCGAACCATAAATAACTATAGCTGTCGACCTCCGACCGCACGCTTAGCAAGGCGATGCTGATGTTATATTTAGATAGCTATTCTTAACTGCTGTCTGGGATGCGATGACTCAGCGTCTGCTATCTGTGTGTTTATCTGTCCTGCGCATCTTTACAGAGATTCGTAAACCAGCTGGCGGCTAGAGCACGAACTACGTAAACAAACTAGTGGTGATGATTACCCAACGTTAGCGGGCTGGGTTTTGGTGAGACGGAGGGTGGATGGATGGATGGCTGTGTGAATGGACGGATGGACGGACGGGCGGGCGGGCAGGCGGGCGAATGGCTGGGTGGATGGATGGATGGATGGATGGATGGATGGTTGGATGGATGAATGGAGGGATGGATGGATGGATGGGTGGATGGATGGATGGATGGATGGATGGATTGATGGATTGATGGATGGATGGATGGATGGATGGATGGATGGATGGATGGATGGATGGATGGATGGATTGATGGATGGATGGATGGATGGATGGATGAATGGATGGATGGATGGATGGATGGATGGATGGATGGATGGGTGGATGGATGAGTGGATCGGTGGATGGATGGATGAATGAATGGATAGATGAGTCGATGTATGTATGAATGAATAATTGAACATTAGAATCTAAAGACAAATAACGAAACACAATTCCATCATGTATCACATAATAATTATCTGTACATCCTTCACTCATAATTTCAACTTCCGAACCACCAATCGGACGACATCGTCAAACGCGTAACCCCAACCCACCATAACTTTAGTACATGTATTTCTATTTGAATTCTAAATGCATGCAATAAAGAATTAATAATAATAATGATAAAATAACTATAACCTCCCCCGCCATCGACTTAGCCATCTTGTTTCCTTAACCGGCCGCTGCAGCCAATGAGCGCCTCCGTCGCCACTTCGCTGAGAAGGCAAACTCTGTCGGACCGTGGATCGAGAGGCAGTTAGATACGATCGCTAACTTCGGCATCCAGACGACAGGACCGCTAGAGGAACAGATGAAGAAGCTGAAGGCCTTCGAAACGCAGATCTACCAATACCAACAGCACATGGAAGAACTGGAGAAGATCAACCAGGTATGGCGAGAACGATGACGATGACGATTAAATATTCGCGTTTCAAACACATTTAAATAAAAGATGATGATGTATAGTTATAAGAATGATATAAGCAATATTAACATGAGAGAAAGGTTAAAAAGAAAGAAGGGTTGGCATTAGAAAGAATAAGATGAAAGAAATCTTAGCATTGAAAAGGTTGACTTTAAAAGAAAGGTTAATATGAAAGAAATGTGAACATATGACACAAAATGGAAACAAAATATGGTTAACGCAAAAGGCAGGTCAACAAAATAAATGAGTTAGAGTGATAGAATCATTACCACGCTTGCTTAATATACAAAGGCCTTATCTAATGACGGCCGTAACGACGACGACGACGACGACAAAAACGACGAATATGACGAGGACGAAGACGATGACAACAACGACGAATATGACGAAGACGAAGACGATGACGACGGCGACGGCAGCGGCGACGACGACTGAAACTACGACGACGATGACGACTATAACTACTACTACGACGACAACGACGACGACGACGAAGACGAAGACGACGGAAAGTACAACGACGACGACGACGGCGATGACAGAGCCGGCGACGACATCGACGACAGCGACGGCGACGACATCGACGACAGAGACGGCGACGATGGCGACGACGACGACGACGATGGCGGCGGCAACGACTACGACAACGACGGCGACGACGACGACGGCGACAACGACGGCGACAACGACGTCTACTACTACCACTACTGTCCTGTCTGTACCTGCCGCAGTTGTTGATTGTGTCTCTTGCCTGCTTACAGTCGGTACAGGAGGCGATGATATTCGAGAACAGATACACACAGTACACGATGGAGACAATCCGCGTCGGATGGGAACAACTTCTCACAAACCTCGCCAGGAGCATCAACGAAATTGAAAACCAGGTGATGGGCTCTCCGCGATGACGTCACGATGACGTTACGCACGCCGCCATTAATTCTTGCAAACGATTGAAAATTCATTTTAAATTGCGACTCTCAAGACTTGCGATGATCCCCGAATTACATAATACATATTGCAAATAATGAATAATACAGATAATACATAATACAGGTAATATAGTTAATATGTATACACGTACATGTCGTATACGTACACGTACTGTATCATAATTATACATATACAGATACATATACAGACACATAATACAGATATACAATAATATATATTAATATTACAGATAATAAATAATACAGGTAATGCAGTTAATACGTATACAAGTACATTACTGTGATATATACATATTATACAGACACATATACATATACACAATAAGATACATAATTCATATTACAGATAATACATAATACAGGTAATGTAGTTAATACGTATACACGCACATTACTGTGACAGACAAATTTGCATATACATAATACAGATAATGCATATTACAATGTCATATAGTAGGTGCACAATACGGGTAATACACATGATGTATGTACATAATATGGTGCATGGATATGCTACATGTACATTACTGTTATAGATACATAATACAGATACATAATGCATTTTTTAGATAATACATAATACAGATAACGCATAATACATACGTTACACAATGCAGATAATACATAATCCATATAACACACAATACAGATAACACATAATACATATGATACACAATACAGATAATACTTAATACAGATAGCACACAATACAGATAACACATAATACATATGATACACAATACAGATAATACTTAATACAGATAGCGCATAATCCATATAACACACAATATAGATACAGACGCTGTGATCACCTGTTGTAGATTCTGCTGAGGGACGCTAAGGGCGTGTCCGACAAACAGATGAAGGAATATCGCATCTCCTTCAACCACTTCGACAAGGGCCGCACACGCCGCCTGGAGACGAAGGAGTTCAAGGCGTGCCTCGTCAGTCTGGGATACAACATCCGCGACGACCCACAGGTGAGTGTGCCACGCCCACGGCCACGCCCACGTCCCACGGTCACGCCTCCACAGCTTTGGGCGTACATACAATCATATACACACGTAGCCCATTCGCGCGCGTGTTTGCGTGTGCGTGTGCGTGTGCGTGTGGGTGTGTGTGTGCGTGTGGGTGTGCGTGTGTGGTTATGTCTGTGTATGTGTGTTATATTATGTACAATGTTATAATGACAACAATTTCTTGAGGATTAATCATAAATAATATGAATTTTTTTGAATACTGTAATATATACATATATAATACACACACACGTATATATATATATATAGAGAGAGAGAGAGAGAGATAGCTATGTATATGTATATATATATATATAATATATCATTATTAAAGTAACATAGCAGTAATGACGCCCCTCTCCTCTCTCTCGCGCGCCCTCTCTATCTTTCCCTCTTTTTCTTTCTCTCTCCCTCTCTCTCCCCATCGTCTTCTCACTCACTCTCCTCTCACTTCTCACATATCCATTCCCTCCTTCTCTATCTCTTCCCCATCTCTCTTCATCAACTTCTCACTCACTCAATGTCCCTCTCTCTCCATCTCCCCCTCTCTCTCTCCATGTCTCTCTCCATCTCCCCCATCTCTCTGACTTTCTCCTCTCTCTCTCTCTCTCTCTTCATCTTCTCCTCTCTCTCTCTCTCCCACTCTTTATCTTTCCCTCTCTCACCCTCTCTCTCTCTTACTCTCCCTCACCCTCTCTCTTCCACTCTCCTTCTCTCTCTCACCCTCTCTCTTTTTCTCTCTCACCCACTCTCTCCATTTCTCTCTCCCTCTTACCCTCTCACCCTTTCCCCGTTGCTCTCACCCTCTCTTTCCCATCTCCCTCTAACTCTCTCTCTCTCTCTCTCACGCGCAGGGAGAAGCTGACTTTATGAGAATCATGACCTCGGTCGATCCGAACCACACGGGCTACGTGACGTACGACTCCTTCCTGGACTTCATGACCCGCGAGGCGACCGACACCGACACCGCTGATCAAGTCATCTCCTCTTTCCAAATACTCGCAGGCAACCAGGTAGGTGAAGCTTACCGCGTGTGGGGAGATAAAGGGTTAGGGTTAGGGTGGAAGGTGGGGAGGAAGCGGGGGTGGGGCGAGGTTGGGCTGGGGAGGGCGGCGGCGAGAATGTGGGGTGAAGTAGGGGCAGCGTCAGGGGAGGAAGCGGGGAGGCTGCGGAGGAGGGATAAGCGGGGGTGGGGAGAGGATTGAGCTAGGGAGGGCGGGGAAAAGGTGGGGCTGGTATGGAAGGCGACTGATACCGACACCGCTGATCTGGTCATCTCCTCTTTCTAAATACTCGCTGGCAACCAGGTAACTGAGCCAGTGAAGCCTACAGCGTGTAGGGAGAGGGTGGGGGAGGGGCGGAGGAGGAGGTGAGGTGGAGCGGGGGCGGGCAGGGAGCAGGTGGGCAGGGAGGAAGCGGGGAGGGTGGAGGCGGGAAGGGTGGAGTAGATGGGGGGCAGGGAAGGCAGCGGTGACGGGGTGGGGAGAGCGCTGGAGGGGTGAGGCGGAGGAGGAGGCGGGGACCGGGGTGGAGGCTAGGCCCGGTCACGTTGGGGTGGGGCGAAGTAATTGCGGGGAATCGGGCGAGGGTGGGAGGTGGGGTGGAGGGGGGGGTGGGGCAGGGGTGAGAGTGGAGGTAGAGGCGTTTCCATGGATGGAACGGGGGAGGCGGGGAAGGAGGCGGGGTTTAGGGGCGGGGCCTGGGTTTGTCTTGTATAATTATTACAACGTATGTGTGGTTATACGAAAATGTCACACACGACATGTCCACAACTATTCGGAAAAGTTTTAATTACCCCCCGCGACGGGTTGGCAGGAGGTTTATGTTTAACCGGCGTTTGTTCTTGACTGTTTGTTGGTTTGTGGGTTTGTGGTTTGTCGAGGCTACAGCTAACTGAAAAAGTTATGGACGGATTGTCAGTAAAATTTTCAGGATAGGTCAGAAATGGGGTAACTTAGAATTGATTACATTTTGGTGATGATCCCGATCCAATTAATCAAATTTTCAGGATAGGTCAGAAATGGGGTAACTTAGAATTGATTACATTTTGGTGGTGATCCGGATCCAATTAATTATTTAACTAATTAATTAATTAATAATTTTTTTACAGTGAGAGAATTCAGCTGCCTTGGCGGAGGTCTGCGCTCTCCGAGTGCTCTAGTTAGGATGTTAGTTTAACCCTAGTTGATCTCTCTCTATCTATCGGTCTCTCTCTCTCTCTCTCTCTCTCTCTCTCTCTTATCCTCTCCCTCCCCCTCTCTCTCTCACATCGTGTTATCTTGCTTGCACCAGTACATTACGGCAGAGACGCTCACCCTCTCTCCTCCCTCTTTCTCCCCCTCTCTCTCTCTCCCTCGTTCTCCCCCTCTCTCCCCTCTCTCTCTCTCCCTCTCTCCCCCTCCCTCTTTCTTCCCCTCTTTTCCTCCCTCGTTCTCCCCCTCTCTCTCCCTCTCTCTCTCGCTCCTTCTATCTCCCTCCCTCGTTCTCCCCCTCTCTCCCCCTCTCTCTCTCTCTCTCTCTCGCTCCCTCTCACCGCATTATCTTGCTTGCAGCCTTACATCACGGCGGAGACGCTTCGCTGCGAGCTGCCACCGGACCAGGCTGAGTACTGCATCCAGCGCATGCCGCAGTACAGGGGAGCAGGCGGAGGACCCGGAGCGCTCGACTACACGTCCTTCTCCATGTCGCTGTACGGCCAGAGCGACTTGTAGACTCACCAGTCACGCCCCCGGGCGGCGCCGAGCTTGACCTCGGACCTCTGACCCCCGCCGGCGCGACCTTGATAGTGTGACGATGATGATGTGGGCGGGGTCGGGGGTCGGGGGTGGCGTTGCGGAAAGAGCGGAGTAGAATGTGATGGGTAACGCTCTCTGCTATGCTTAACGCGACGTCGTCGTTGTCATCGTCGTCGTCGTCGTCATCGTCATCGTCATCGTCGCCGTCGTCATCGTTGTCGATGTTGTCACCGCCGCCGCCGCCATCATCGTCGTTGTCATCGTTGTCGTCGTTGTACATTAAAAGTGCAAACGGTGTTTTCTCTTGCTTGTCATTTATGTCATTTATGGAGCTTATTGAATTAATCGCCCGAGAAAATATTTGAAGGAACGATTTTCGTTTTTGTTTTTCTGAAATAGCGTGACGGTTCCTCACCCACCGCGTTCGATTCGATGATGATAAGTCGTTTGTTGCACGTTAGATGGCGCTAGTGAGGTTCGCAGCCGATTTATGAGCCATCAGAGAAGCATACGTCATTCTAGATGAACCTACTGGCCTCTTATCATTTATCATGTATCGTCTCGTGATGAACATTTAAGGAGAAGCAAACCCTAGTAGAGTGAGCGAGAAGGTGCTGGCGAGAGAGTAAGCAGGCAGCTAAGAGCTCATGATATCAAGGTTTCTCCAAATTTTCACGTTTACTTTCTCGTCTTTACCTTGTTGCTTGTCAGGTTATTGTTTCTTCGATGTTCAAACATTTGTCATGATCGTTTTCGACTATGGTTGGAGAAACTACGCGAATATTACCACAGATGGCGAATAGGACATCACACACGCGATGATTTTAAACATGAAACGCGCCATTTGAACATTGATTTTCTTCAGAAACGCAAGCATCGACGTAGCGTGCGACGTGAATGCATCTACTTTTTGTTTGCCAGATATCAGACTGTTATTTTTGGTTTTAAAACCCAACGCCATTGCACAATTTTGGTCCAGTATGTTCTGATACAATCCGACCTGTTACGAACGAAAAGAAGCATGTCACTCAAACAACTGTTAAAAACTTTTTCTGTTAAATTATTTGTAAAATACTTGTCTTACAGCGCTCGTGTTTTGTGTTACTTGTTGAGTTTTTTAGTTTCTCATGGCTCTGCTTACTAGTACAGTGTAGTGCTTGCCTCGCGCCCCCAACTAAAGATGGCCGTCATACCCTGATCCGTCCCGCGTTTCTCATGGCTGTCACATTACAATAGGAGGCGCGGCGCCGATCAGGATACGGGAGCTGGCCGCGGATGGCACCTTGCCAAAACTTTGCAGTGCAGCTAACAGCAACCACTGCATCTTTATTTCGTAGCCCTAGTTATTTTTAATTTTTGGGGGAGATTTATCTAGTCATGGTCCGTAGGTAGGCCCAGACGATTTTTGAATTGATGGATTGGTTGAAGAGAGTCATAAATGTCACCACATGATAACTATTTATCGCCTCTAGACTAGGATATGTTAATCGTAACCTGTATAATAAGGGGATATAAACGCGTAACGATCTGTGACAACCTTGCGACCGTCCGTCCCCCCTTCATCCTGCAACTGAACTGCGGTTATCCGTGGCTGCGAATATCTAGCTTCTTACTGAACCGTTGTCTTGCCGGGGAGGCCAAGATGGCGGCGGTGTAAAGCAGGTAGTCGTCTGCGGTCTTAACCTGACAGCAGCAGCAGCAGCAGCGGCGGCAGCAGCAGCAGCAGCATCAGCAGCAACAGCAGCAGGAACAGCAGCCGCAGCACCAGTAACAGCAGCAGCAGCAGCAGACGAACATTAAAGGCTGCAGTCGATAGCTTTCTGTTTTTATAAGCGATTTTTGCTCGAGTTTAGGATTGTAAGGCTTTACAAACGCGTACCGTAGATCTTTGGTGGAAACATGATGAAAAAATGCGGGAAACGTGATGTATGGAATGCAGGTTTCCAGTTCACAGAAATTCGTAATGCCAAATAAAAAAAATATCACCTTATTTCTCCTTGCTAGTGTGTATATTGCTGTTATTATTTGTTGTCTTTACTTTATAAATACAATTTTGAATTTTAAAACGTGTATGCTTATACCGTCTTCGTTTGGTACACTCACAACACACACGCACACGCACGCATGCTTGCACGTACGCACGCACACACATAGATATGATATAAGTACGAAAAATACCGCATCGTATTTGGTGCTTAGTGTGTCACGTGACGTTAGACGTGAATCAATGTTGCCCGTTGAGCGGTGGTTTGAACCAGTAGACTAGGAGAGCTAGTGAGAGTGAAACACACAGAATCTGATTAAAAAAAATAACGGTAGTACTAAACTAGGAGATTATCGGTCAAATCTACCGAAAGATTTCCTTGTTGCTCTTTGCTCATGTTGATCAAATTTTATGGGTGGCACCAATATACTGTGATATATACTAACATACAATACACATACATTATATTCTAGACTATATACTATTATAACTTTAACGTAACTCGTATTATAACTTGTATTGTTATAACTTATACTATTATAACGCGTGCACCATAGATATAGATATATATCTAGAATGAACATGCGCAGAAGCACAGGTGCCCAGCGGGCGGGTGTCCTGGCAGTGTGCTTGCCACCATATATATCAGGAGTTAATAATTAACTCCTGATATATTATATATATATACCTATCATACACTCTCCCTGTGTACACACGCTCCACGGAAAGCTGCAGCGCACACAGCATACGTTAAACTAAAAAATAGATTAAGCTATATGGTCATGGATTTAAGGTGCAGACTTTGCGAAGCTGCACGCTCAAAACTTTTGCTGACTACACGATGCAAGTTTCGACCAGTTTGTAGGATCTTATTTCACACGCGGATCTACGACACAGCAGACCGGTTACCATGGCTACGTTATGTCAGACAGAATATAACAAAATAATACAAAAAATAATAACATAGAAAATAATGAAAAAAATAATACAGAAAATAATAAAAAATATATTATAAAATAATAAAAAGTCTTAACATTAACCTCTCGAAAGAGGTTTCCTTGTTTAGAAACTTGGTGAATAACCTCATATGTTTCTCCAATGTTTGTAGCAGGAGAAATCGTGCGCAGTGTGGCGTGGCAAGCTTTTGCATCAACAATCGTCAATTTATGCGGCTACGTGACGTTTGTGGTAAAACCACCGCAGCTGCACTCGCGTACACTGACGGTTGCACGATGACCATTCATGCGTCCAGCATGACTATTTGCGGTCATTTTTGCAAACAATATAACACCCACCAGCATCACGTATATCCCAATTCTTAGAAATCCGTAGAAATCATTACATAAAGCCAGCCTTGTGTATATGAATTGTGACGGGTCGTACACTGAACGAACTACTGTGGGAATAATTTCTTTTCATTTGCATGATCTTTCAATGATGTGGGGGCATATTTATGATTTATTAATAGAGATATTACAGGTAGGCAATGAAAACTTGTCCAAAACACACAATTTGATTGGGAAAATTTTTCGTAACCGCTCCAGCCTCCCTGCCGGTAAATATCTCTTCAGTGTTGAACTACAATTTTAAGTTAGTAAAAAGCTAGACTCAAATACGTATGTTATGTTTTTCAAACTTCTTCCGTATTAACTCGTTCTAACTCTACTTTTATGCTTGTCTAAGAATTAACAATGGCTTCAACGCTTCAAGGGGGACATTCATGCTATTCCTCTAATCGTCCGAGAAAAGCCATACGACCCTGCACATGTTAGATTGCCGACACCATAAGCCCGTGGCGTACATTATTATCAGAAGTGTATAATATATTTATTTATCTATAATATTTATACATATTTAAATATATATATTTATCTATATTATCTATATTTATTTATATATATATATATTTATTGGCAGCTGTTCTTTCTGTGCTTCGTACTTTCTGACGGTTGTTGTATAATGTTTGCACTTTGCAGCGCCATTGCTCTACAGTCACGTTTACTTGCTGGTGTAAAATTGCCCTCGTTACATTTATTCTCTTGTCAACTAATCTATTATATCTCGTTGTGCATTTCGGTTACTTTACTCGCTCATTTACGCATGTACCAGTAACTGCTGGTGCCTTGTTTTAATGCCGCGTGCTCTATGTGTAACTGTTGTTACTTACGGCAACGTCGCTTCTACACAAACTAAACTTCTGCTTTACGATCAGCACCTTTCATTAACTGGTTCATTGAAGTAATGTATTGAGATAAGTATGTGAGATACGCACCTACTGCTGACCGGCTCCTCGCGTTTTTAAGCATATAAGATCGACCGAATAGCGTTGCCTAGAGGTAACGCGCTAAGATTCCCGCTCCTGCAAACCCTAGATACATTAGAATTACCTGTGAAAGGCATTGCGTTTCCCCTGAACTGAAATATTGAGATCGACATTTGTTATTGCGTACCTACTACTGGCCTCTTCCCACCTTTTTATGCACATAAGATCGAATGTATTTCATGAATTGTCTTTAAGTGATAGTTCGCCGAAATGCCAGTACTAGCAAACACTATACAATATTGTATACGACTATCTCTAAGGTAGGGCATTACGTCCCAAGCGATACTAACACCGACCAACACAGTAGATTGGTAAATATGATACTACTTGACTGCTTGGAATCGCGTAGTTCGTAAGGCAGAACACATATGCATTAGAATCCTATCTAATCGCTTATCGTCGACTTAGGTGTAGATTGTCTATACTCCAGTCAAGATGCTTCTGCTCACGTAGACGTGGTAGACTAGGACATTAGCTGTTATTTTAACCGGCTGTACAGAGTATTTATAACGCAGGCCTAGTATTATAGAATCTCTGCTCTTCTGCTTAGTTTCCTATTTTGCATATAGGAACTTGCTTCGGACCGTAACAGCTTTCTTTATTCTCATCATTTGTTGCTTTGTCACACACATATGAACGCACGCACGCACACACGCACGCACGCACGCACACACACACACACACACACACACTTCTCTTTGAATTTGTTTATTATTGAT